ACTCTCTGCATAGCTGTGGAAGACGCTTCTTTGAAATCGCCTCCATTGAAGACAGACACATTCTTTTCTTTCTCCACAAATCCCGATATGATCCTTCTTATGCTTTCATGATCAAACTGCCGCTCACCATCATAGGAGAACGATAAAACCAGAAGATCATCCACGGTTGCGTGCTCTAAAATCACTGAAATTCTCTTTTCTAGCTCGTTCTTGCAAATATTTGCTGCCCTCAAGAAAATACCTGTCCTCAGGAGACGACAGAGGAAGTTTATGGGGAAGGCAGCCTTTTCGGGGGGCATAAGAGCGACTATAGACTGTAGAAGGTCTCGTTGTTGGATTCTGATATCAGATTCCCCAGAATCTAATGATTTTATTCCATTTCCAGAGTGGTCACGCACAAGATCACGAAGTGATCTCTCAGCATATGTGATTATAGCACTAGCTATTGTCAAGGCCTTTGCGCCTCCTGATTTCATCGACGTAATGATCTTTTCAAAGAAGCTTACGTCCAAGATTGTTAGCTCTTCGGTCCACCAGTTAGGTGGTGAACGGCTTGGAAAATTCGCCTCAACGCAAGCCTAACACGTTAATCCACCAATAGTTAACTAAAAGACACATGTAATGATAGGACTGCAATCTTATTTGTGTCGAACCACTTCTTCTAAACGTTTAAACTATTAAAGAGACAATGACACTTGTTTTATCTCATCGATTAGGCTCATTTTCCATCAAATGCCTAACACGTGCATAATTTTTATAAATAAAAGTCCGTAAGACTTGAATTCAAGATTCATAACCTTTCTATATTGTAAGAGCTTAAGTTGTTTCAAAGAAAAGAAGGAAGTACCTTAGCACTTGCGACATCGACACATCTTTGTACAATTTTGAGGTCTTCAGCCATGGGAAGTAGATCTTCACACGATTTCAGGACGACCAAGGCACCCGAAAGACTGCTTAACGGCACTTGAGAGAGGAAATCCTCGGTCCGACTACAAAGATTATTCTCACAATATAAATCAGTCATCTGTAGATACTCAGCAGCACATCTGAGGGCTGCCACGTTGAGTACTGTGATATCAAAATTCACTCCATAACAGAATCTTGCAGCTTTTTCGAAAATTTCAGGTCCTCCAGGGATGTTTGAGAGGTTTATTCTTGCCAAATCAGCTTCTTTTGATTCAATAATAAGTTTTCTTATGTAATTGCTCTTTGCTATAAGCATGAACTGCCACCATAAGTAGATGAACATAATTAACTTATGCCAGTAGATCTATCTTTGTAACATTCCAAGCTTTAAGTACGAAAATAATACTACTTTTCTTGAAACTTTTTTGACTGAATGAACCGAAAAAACTCAAACAAGCTATTCAATTTGTATAAAGTTCAAGCGAAATCGAATTTCAAGATTAGTGTTCTTCAACATACCTTGTGAAGAGAGAAATTGGCTTCCCCTACTTCAACAATAACATCAGTAGGAATTTCTCGAGGAAAAACCCTGTAATTTGAACCAAAAAAGGGCAAAAAATCATAACAGAAATATCAAAATGAATAAGAAAGAACAATTTAAAGGAACAATTGGAGTTCAAATACCACTGCCCAGTTCTCTCCATGGCAAGAGATGCTCTGCTATTAGCCATTGGATTGGAGTATGCTCGAGGAAAATAGAAATATTCACACAGAGCTTATTTGAGTTATGCAAAGATTTTAAATTTACCTCACTCAAGGTAGCTTTTTTATTTAAATCTTTTTGGCTTTTAGGGGACAACAATTTATCTGTGTAACTTTTCTAAGTAGTTTTCAGGCGGATTCCGTGTATTTATCCTACATTACAGTGATAGCCGCCAAGAAAGAGCCAAGTTAATTCTAATTATGTAATAAATTGTTGCTTACCATGTACAAGGGAATGTAAATATCAAACAATTTCTAGGATTATAAAGACGAGAGATTTAAAACGGGTGAATTAGACTGTTCAACGGTTGGACTAGATCGACTCCGAACCATCTGACCATGTTTCTACGAGAACAAATCCAAATCAAGAAAGGTTGTTTTGCAAAGTGATTCGTCTAAAATATCGAGTCTATCGCATTGTTGAATTAAC